AGAAGCGATGCTGGGCAGACCGCCTGATCCCACCCATGTTCTTTATCTGAATCGGTGCTTCTCCACCTCGGCTGCACCCAGCGGGAATCACCTGGGAACTTAAAAAAAATATAATAAAAATTCCCGTGCCTGGCCGGAAGTGGTGGCTCACGCCTGTAATCCCAAAGCTCTGGGAGGCCGAGGAGGGCCGATCACAAGGTCAGGAATTCAAGACCAGCCTAGCCATCGTGGTGAAACACCATCTCTACTAAAAATGTAAGAAATTAGTTGGTCGTGGTAGCACCCACCTATAATCTCAGCTATTCGGGAGGCTGAGGCAGGAGAATCATTTGGACCCAGGAGGTGGAGGTTGCAGTGAGCCGAGATGGTGCCATTGCATTCCAGGCTGACTCTGTCCCAAAAAAAAAAAAAAAAAAAAGGCCAGGCACAGTGGCTCACTGTACTCCCAGCACTTTGGGAGGCCAAGGTAGGCGGATCACCTGAGGTCAGAAGTTTGAGACCAGCCTGACCAACATGGAGAAACCCTGTCTCTACTAAAAATATCAAATTAGCTGGGCGTGGTGGTGCATGCCTGTAATCCCGGCTACTCAGGAGGCTGAGGCTGGAGAATTGCTTGAACCCAGGAGGCAGAGGTTTTGGTGAGCTGAGATCAAGCCATTGCACTCCAGCCTGGGCAACAAGAGCAAAACTCCATCTCAAAAACGAAACAAAAAATCCCCGTGCCTGAGCCACCCACCCATCTCTGGAGTGGCCCAGGCATCAGTGAGTTTTTTTTTTTTTTTCTTGTTTGGTTTTGTTTTGTTTTTTGAGACAAGGTCTCACTCTGTTATCCAGGTTGGAGTGCAGAGGTGTGATCACAGCTCACTGCAGCCTTGACCTTCAGGGATCAAGAGACTCCTACCTTAGCCTCCTGAGTAGCTGGGACTGCAAGCACATATCACCATACTGGGGGTTTTTTTTGTTTTGTTTTGATTTTTTTTTTTTTTCCATAAAGAGCAGGTGTCACTATATTGCCTAGGGTAGTCTTGAACTCCTGGACTCAAGTGATCCTCCTGCCTCAGCCTCCCATAGTACTGGGATTATAGGAGTGAGCCACAGCACCTGGCCCACCAGTGTACCTTTTTAAAAATATATATATTTTATTGTACTTTAGGTTCTGGGGTACATGTGCAGATCATGCAGGGTTGTTGCATAGGTACATGCATGGCAATGTGGTGTGCTGCCTCCATCCTCCCATCACCTATATCTGGCATTTCTCCCCATGGTATCCCTCCTCAACCTCCCTACCCCCTGCTGTCCCTCCCCAGTCCCCGCCAACAGACCCCAGTGTGTGATCCATCAGTGTACTTTAAAGCTGCCCTAGGATTCCAATGTGCAAGATTCCGAGGTGAAGAAGCGAAGCTCTAGATGGGCCAACTCCAGTGTCACCTCCTATTCTCCTTTTGTTCTATTTATTTATTTGTTTATTCGAGACAGAGTCTCACTCTGCCACCCAGGCTGGAGTGCACTGGCATGATCTCAACTCACTGCAACCTCTGCCTCCTGGGTTCAAGTTAGTTTCCTGCCTCAGCCTCCAGAGTAATTGGGATCACAGGCAGGCGCCACCACGTTGGCTAATTTTTGTATTTTTGTAGAGATGGGGTTTTGCTATGTTGGTCAGCCTGGTCTCGAACTCCTGACCTCAGTTGATCTGCCCACATCGGCCTCCCAAAGTGCTGGGATTATAGATGTGAGCTACCACACCTGGCCCCTATTCTCCCTTTGGCTTCCAAGGTCGGCTCCCACCATGGCCCCTCTCCCTGAACCTGTGCTGGCCATGGCCTCCTTGTTGGAGACCCAGTGGCCTCTGCAGGGGTCTAACCCCATCAGCCACTCTTCTCCTTGGTGTCCCCACTCCGCTCATCCTGCTGTTCTGAGAGTCTTCTCTGACCGCTGTGTGTCCAGTATTCTCTCTCCGTCCTACTCGGCTCATTACCTGGCCAGGGGTTTAATCAGATACTGATGAAGGTGTCCAGCCTGGACCTGCCTTAAGACTCAGCCCCGTAAGTCCAGTGGCATCCACAGCTGGAGATCTTGTGAGCCCCTCAAACTTACCATGGCCCCATGTGAGCAGGTCACCCCCTCCTGCTTTCTCACCTGCTTCTTGTCTTGAGCGCCTTGTCTTCTACTCAGGTCCCAAGCCCAAAGCCTAGACCCTCCTCACCCGCGCACACCTTCTCCATCCAGCATATTGGTCAGCTGTGTGGCCTCTGTCCCCTCGGCGCCTTCCACTGGCCTGGACCTGAGTCACCCTCTCCACCTCCTGTCCACCCCTGTCTCCATCTCCCAGTCAGAGAGACAGTCCCCTTTAATGGCTCCCCTGTAGCCCCCATGACCCAGCTCTTCCTGCGTCACCTGCCTTGCTTCCTACCACAGAGCTGTGTGTCCAGGCTCAGCAAGAAGGCAAGTCTAGGAACCAGAAGGTGTGAGCTCCAGGAGTGGGGAATGGAGCTGTACAGGCAGATGCTCACCTGCTCCCACATCTGCAACACACAAGAGTGACACACAGGAGTGACAGGTGTGACATGGGCGTGACAGGCGTAACACAGGTGCAAGAGGCAGGTGGTACAAGATCATTCATCAGCCAGCCAGGTGCCAGGAAGCTGGGGGCAGGGGTGGCGATGGGCTGTGAACTGTAGCCCAGGGGTCCTCTAAATCCACTCTGTTCAGTCTGGGGCCCTCCACGGATGCCTCTCTCCTTTGGACATTCAACCCCCATCTTCCCACCTCCTCTCTCTCTTGTCTTCCTTCCTCTGAGTCTCCTTCCCTTGCTTTTCCATCAGCCCCAGGCCCATCCCCGGCCCTCTGGGCCTCAGTTTCCCCCTCTGCATAATGAGGCTAACAAAAGTATCTACTGCCCTAGGGTGCTGTGGGAATTTCATAACCTTGCATGATGTCTGGTGTGCAGGGGTGACAGTGGCTTGAACCATGAAGGAACCAGATATGACCAGGCCCCAGGCCTTCACCTGCCCTCATGTCAGTAACACACCCCACAGCCTCCACATCCCTGAGCCCTGGCACAGACATCCTCACTCAAGGATGCGTCATGTTTTCTTTCTCCATCCAAAATCACTAACCTATCTGCTCTTAAGAGCTGAGCTCAGCCCGGGCTCGGTGGATCACCTGAGGTCAGGAGTTCAAGACCAGCCTGACCAACATGATGAAACCCCGTCTCTACTAAAAATACAAAAATTAGCTGGGTGTGATGGTGGGTGCCTGTAATCCTAGCTATTCAGGAAGCTGAGGCAGGAGAATTGCTTGAACCCGGGAGGCGGAGGTTGCAGTGAGTCGAGATTGTGCCATTGCACTCCAGCCTGGGTGACAGAGCAAGACTCCATCTCAAAAATAAAATAAAAATAAAGCTGAGCTTAAATCTGAGCCTGGGCAGAAGTAAGCTTCCCTCCTTGCCCTGCCAGAGTTCCTTGTGCTGGTGCCACTCTCACAGTCTTCACTTAGAGACCGTGCCTGGAGAGCTGGCTGTAGGCTGGGCTCTATCCAAAGCACTATAGTAGCGATAACTCGTTTAATCCTCACAGAAACTCTTGTGAGGTCCATACTGTAATAATCCCTTCACAGATACGGCTTGGAGGCACAGAGAGGTCAAGCAGTTGTCCAAGGCCACACGGAAGATGACAAAGCCAGGACCTGAATCCCCGTAGTCTGGCCCCGAGTCTTTGCTCTTAACTACTCAATACTCTGCATGTCCGCAGGCAGAGGGGCATGGGAATCCTAATGACAGAGTGGCCTTCTGAGCACCCACTCTGTGCCAGGCACCATGCTGAGCACTGTGGGTGGTTAACGCCCCGGGCCTCCCCACACCGAGCCACTGACCACCTGTGGTTTGCATCTGAGCACAGTGCTTGCTGCCTGTTGGCCCTCAGCACTGGCCCCTGGCAGGAGCACACTCTTGGCCCCTCTCCCTGGTGGAACTTATGCCCTCACTCTGTCCAGCACGAGCTTGGCTCTGGTGACTTGCGGACTGACTTCCCTTGGGATATAGTTGGAGTCTCTAGCAACTCTCTGCTGCGTTGTTTAACCCAGCGTCTGCTATCACAAAAAGTCACAGACTGGGGGTCTAAGGAGCTCTGGAGGCCGGAAGTCCAAGGCTGGCTGCTGGGTTTCCTCCCCAGGCTCTCTCCTAGGTCTCTCGGTGCCTCCTCCTCCTGTGTCCTCAAGTGGTCATTCCTCGGCATGTCTGTGTCGCCATTTCTTCTTCCTAGGACACCGGTCATATAGGATTAGGGCCTACTCCTCTGATCCCATTTTACGTCAGTCACCTCTTTAAAGGCCGTGTTTCCAAATTCATTCCAAGGTACTAGGGGTTAGGACGTCACCATGTAGTCAGAGGGATACAATTCAGCCCATGACACCCAGGGTTTCAAACTCAAATGCCAGGCGGGAACACGTATGAATGAACTGGGCTGGGAAAGTCTTGGCCTCCTCATTCATTTGTTCCCACTTCTGAGGGGGACACAGGTAAAGCCATCTCACGTTCCTCTTTACTGTGTGAAATACAAGGACACGGACATTTGTTCATGACCGTATCCTAGCTTTCTAGAACAGGTGCCTGGCTCCAAGAAAGTGCTCAATAAATCTGCTGAGCAGGAGAATGGACAGAGCGGCCCTGGGCACTGGGGAGTGGCAGGGATCATGGTGAGTCCTGGCCAGGGGGTCAGCAGGCACTTAGCTCCAGCCAACTGTTGTCCAGTCTCCTGGAATCCAGACTTACGTAAATCTGTTTTTCAGTGCTAGCAACTAATTCACAAAAACTAAAACCATCCTGCAGACCTATTTGCAGCCCCTGATGTCTGCCTAGGGGGCGCACCCTGGGTCAGCAAAGCAGGGCCTCCCCCAGCTCAGCCTGGGGCTGCTGGGCTCTCACTCAGGAGACAGAAAGCCTGGGGACTGGGACTGGTACACCCAGCCACTCAGGACCCCACCACCCATGGTTGCCTCTGCAGGAAGGCGATGCGCTGGGCGCCATGGAGAAGCTGTGCCGGCAGCTGACATACCACCTCAGCCCCCACTCCCAGTGGAGACGGCACCGAGGGCTGGTGAAAAGGAAGCCACAGGCCTGGTGAGTTACAGTCCCTGGGCGGGTCTACGCTACGCTGAGTGTGTGATACAGGGCACCCGTCCTGGGAATGTAGTTCTGGGCGGGGGCCAGAAGGGGTGGTCATAGAAGCTGCCTGAAGAAGGTAAGATGGAAAGAGGGTGGCAAAACAGCTAAAGGGGGACCCTGGTCTGGTGGGTGGGAGCTGGGGAGCACGGGCCCACTGAGATGGGGTGGACAGAAGGAAAATGTGAGAAATTTCTAATTCCTGCTGTACTAAAAGTGGGAACTCCCGGCCAAGCACAGTGGCTCCTGCCTATAATCCCAGCACTTTGGAAGGCTGAGGCAGGTAGATCACTTGAGGTCAGGAGTTTGAGACCAGCCTGGACAACATGGCAAAACCCTGTAAAAATACAAAAATTAGCCAGATGTGGTGGCACATGCCAGTAATCCCAGCTATTCAGGAGGCTGAGACAGGAAAAACCTCTGAACCAGGGAGTTGGAGGTTGCAGTGAGCCGAGATCACGCCACTGCACTCCAGCCTGGGCAACAGAGTGAGACTCCATCTCAAAAAAAAAAAAAAAAAAAATGTGGGCACTCCCTACTGAACTCCCCAGTTATCTTGGATGTCCCAGAGGGACCCAGACCCCAGCCATGTCCCTGGTCCACACAGCAGCAGGAGGTTTCAGCCTCCCGAGTAGCTGGGATTACAGGCACACGCCACCATGCCTGGCTAATTTTTTTATTTTTAGTAGAGACGGGGTTTCACTATGTTGGCCACGCTGCTCTTGAATGCCCCACCTCAGGTGGTCCGCCTGCCTTGGCCTCCCAAAGTCCCGGGATTATAGGCGTGAGCGACTGTGCCCAGCCCATTCATTCTTTTAACAAACATTTGTTAAGCTCCTCCTGTGTGCCAGGCAGTGTCCTAGACATTAGGGTCACAGTGGTGAACAGGATGGACTAAATCCCTGTTCTTCCTCTAGCAGGGGGAGACAGACTACACACAAGACCGTGTGAGAGTGGGTGATACAGTAGCGTGGGGGTGTGGCTACTCAGGAGAAGGTAATGTGTGAGCTGGCACATGGAGAAAAAGCAAGCACGGGCCATCAGAAGAGTTTGGTGAGAGTTCCAGCAGAGGGTACAAAGGTCCCAAGGCTGGAAAGGGCCTGGCGTGTCTGCGAACCAGCAGGAAGACCAGTGTGGTGGGAGTGGGAGGGCAGGAGAGGTGAGACCAGGAGGTGGGAGGGCAAACCAGAGGCCCATGCTTGGATTTCACTCAGGTGGCATGAGATCGCACCCGAGGGGAATGAGACGCATCACATGGCTTCTGAATGAAGAATGCACTGAGCATGCATGTGTGTGGGGAACCAGCAGAGGCCCTTAGGTTCCAGCAGAGCTCAAACTTCCAGCTTTCCAATGCTAAAGAATTAGCTCAGTCTCTTCATGGGATTCCAGGTTCCAAGGACCCCCTCTCCTGCTCTATCCCATATATATGCCCCCTCTACCCAGGTGGAGCCTGTCCCGTGGCCAGCACCATGAGAGCCTTACACTCTTCATTCACGTGGCAATGCTCCTCTCCAGGATCCAATTCCTGGTTGCAGGGTTGGGGTGTCCAGAATAGAAGGAGCCACCAGAGCTCTTTCTTCTCCATGAGGGAGGGGGACAGCCCTTCCCTCCCCAGTCTGCAGGGACCTGCAGGGATGAGCTAGCAGCAGCACCAAAGCCTTGCCAGTCTTTGTGAGGGCACACCACTCCACCAGAATGGTGATTTGCAAAGAAGCAGGTGTGCTTCCTCCTCCAGTAAGTCTTCCTTCCAGGCTCCCCTCTACTTGCTTTCTATGGTGTTATCCCAGCCCACAGGTTCTGTGTCCTACATGCCCCTCAACCCCTACCAATCTTCAAGGTCTATACCACGCCTGTAATCCCAGCACTTTGAGAGGCCAAGGCAGGTGGATCTCGAGGTCAAGAGATCAAGACCATTCTGGCTAACACGGTGAAACCCTGTCTCTACTAAAAATACAAAACATTAGCCGGCTGCGGTGGCATGCACCTGTAGTCCTAGCTACTCAGGAAGTTGAGGCAGGAGAATGGCTTGAACCCAGGAGGCAAAGGTTGCAGTGAGCCGAGATCATGCCACTGCACTCCAGCCTGGCGACAGAGCAATACTCTGCCTCAAAAAAAAAAAAGAAACACAGAAAATGGCCGACATGACAGCTCACACCTGTCATCCCAGCACTTTGGGAGGCCAAGATGGGTGGATCACCTGAGGTCAGGAGTTCCGGACGATCCTGGCCAACATGGTGAAACCCCGTCTCTACTAAAAATACAAAAATTAGCCATGTAGTGGTGGCAGACACCTGTAATCCCAGCTGCTCAGGAGGCTGAGGCAGGAGAATCACTTGAACCCAGGAGGCGGAGGTTGCAGTGAACCGAGATTGCACCACTGTACTCCAGCGTGGGCAGCAGAGTGAGACTCCTCTCCAAAAACAAAAACAAACAAACAAACAAACAAAGTGGAAAATGAACATCTCACCACTGCACCTGGGCCTTGGAGCCAGCAAACAGGCTGCAGGGGTGCAGGGGCAGGGGGCAGAGGGGTGTGCGGGAAAGGCACACTCGCCATCAGCTTGAACTGCTTTGGCTCTGTCCCACGAGCAAGGAGCAAGGCACTCAGCCTCCAGCGGTCAGCAGCTGCCACGAGGCTCAGAGGCACTGAGCCCTGCCCTGCCTGCTGTCCTACAGGGTCCTCCCATCCTCCCAGGGAACACTTCTGTGGTAAGGAAGATGGTCTTGATAGAGGGGCCTCAGAGAGCCTTTGTGCCATTCATGGAGGCTGAGCTGCCAGCAAAGGGTGGTAAAGTGGGAAGCTGAGCCCAAGTGATTAATAACAACAGCCAATGTTTATTCATCGCTCACCTATACAAGGCACTATGTTGCACTTATGAACTTATTTCATATAGCAGCCTGATGGTACTTTTAACTCAACTTTTCCAGTAAATAAGGGCAGCCACAGACCTCCGACTGTGGCCAGCTGGGCCCTGACAGCTGAGATGTGCAGCAGTGTCAGGGGACTGAAGTCCCTGGTTACGCCCACCTCTGCATATGGCATCCGACCTGCAAGTGTTTTGTTAAAAGTGGTCCCTAGGCCGGGTGCGATGGCTCACATCTGTAATCCCAGCACTTTGGGAGGCCGAGGCAGGCGATCACAAGGTCAGGAGTTCGAGACCAGCCTGACCAACATGGTGAAACCCCATCTCTACTAAAAATAGAAAAATTAGCCAGGCATAGTGGCCCACGCCTGTAGTCTCGGCTATTTGGGAGGCTGAGGCAGGAAAATCGCTTGAACCCGGGAGGCAGAGGTTGCAGTGAGCTGAGATCGTGCCACTGCACTCCAGCCTGGGCAACAAAGTGAGACTCTGTCTCAAAACAAAAAAAGAAAAGTGGTCCCCAGTGTTGGAGCAGAGGCTGGCTCCACAGCAGCGGGCACTGCAGCTTCTGGGGGAAAGGCCTGCCCATGTGCCTGAGGCTTGTTTTTCCCTTTTCTCTTCAGTCTCAAGGCTGTCCTGGCGGGGAGCCCCCCAGACAACACAGTGGACCTGTCAGGCATCCCACTGACCTCCCGAGACCTGGAGCGGGTGACCAACTACCTGCAGCGCTGCGGGGAGCAGGTGGACAGTGTGGAGCTGGGCTTCACAGGCCTCACGGATGACATGGTCCTGCAGCTGCTACCCGCACTCAGCACCCTGCCCCGCCTCACCACACTGGCGCTCAATGGCAACCAGCTGACCAGGGCCGTGCTGCGCGACCTCACTGACATCCTTAAGGATCCCAGCAAGTTCCCCAACGTCACGTGGATTGACCTGGGCAACAACGTGGACATCTTCTCCTTGCCCCAGCCCTTCCTGCTCAGCCTGCGCAAGCGATCCCCAAAGCAGGGCCACCTGCCCACGATCCTGGAGCTGGGTGAGGGCCCGGGCAGTGGGGAGGAGGTCTGGGAAGGGACAGTAGGCCAGGAGGACCCTGGAGGGGGCCCTGTGGCACCTGCCAAAGACCTTGAGGACAAGGAGACTGTAGCTGCAGCTCAGACGTGACACGGAAGTGAGGGCCCTCACCAGGGAGTCCTTGTGGGGTGGAATGGCCAAGGCAGGCGGGGTAGGAGCTTCTATCAGGTGGGCTAAGGCCATTGCTAAAAACTGGCCTGGGCAGCCCACCTACAGAGGCAGACCATAGCATCTGGGGAAGGGGACTTGTGATACTTCCCATTGGTCCTCTCCATCTGCCCCCACGAATCCCATTACCCGCCATTTGGCTCGTAAGTCATCCCAGGCCCAAGAGACCCTTCTGAGCTCAGCCCACGGCCTTCCCCAGAGACTTGTCGAAATGTGAATATTGCTGGAGGTACTGGAAGCCTGAGCCAATGTGAACACCAAGGGCTTTCCCCCAGAGAAGGAATACAGTAGGGCCCGTACGTGCATTACATTTTTCATTCGGGGGACACAAGCTCCAACCAGATGACCATGTCCCCACTCAAGGAAGGTGGCAATCTTTAGCAAAACGCCTGTAACTCAAGAACCTGGGGAAGGGATTGGTTGTCAGAGACCCCAGTTCCATCTATGCTAGGGGTGGACAGAACATGGTCTACCTGGGCATCCAGCCACAGGACCAGTTATGCCCTTTGACATATGCCCTTTGACACAACAGCCTATGATGCCATGTGGTACCCATGCATACAGGCATCTAGTCCTGCTCAGAAATCCCATATCCACCTGCCCTACGGGTGAAAAACTACCAACTTTTGTGTGGGCTCTAGTGTCCATAGCATGCAGGCCAAGTGACAAGCCTGGCTTCCTGGTCACTTGCCAGTATGATTTCACTGACTTAGGCTGTAAGGACCCTTTCCCCGTAACTCTTAAGTAACCCACTAACACATTCCAGAAAACCTACTGCAGAAGGTAGGCTTTAAAACCTTAAAAACCTGGGACTATGAAGGAGACCAATCCCTTGGCAGATCCAACAAGATGGCTGGGGAGAGGGAGAAACAAGCTGGAGGCTCCCAAAGGCGCCTAATTTAGCAAAGGTTCCCATCTTACCTCCCCTTACCCAAATGCTCTCCTAGTGAACGGGCCCCGTCAGTTAAGGAATCTCTTCTAACAGGCAACCCCTAGATCCAGGTAGTTCAGTCCAGGGAGATTGGGAGCAATGTGGGCAAACAGTATGGGGCACCCTCTGACAGGCCTTGGTAGGCAACATTCCAGCACAGGAAGACCTGTCAAGATGGGGCCTAGACTATGGGGCTCTGCGTGCTGTTAAGGTTGTGGTTAGGAATGGTGCAATGCTGCAGGGGCTGGGAGAAAGCTACACCAAGGGACAGAGACCAGAGCAGCAGGAGCCAAAATTGTGGAGGCCGTAAACGCTTTGAATTGTTGCCTTCAGTCTAAAGCTGTATAATGGGGGGTGAAGAGCTTAGGCTGACCACAGAGAAGTTTACAAGCTAGAGCGCTAATATCTGGACTGCTAATATCTGACAATAGTAGGTGAAATTTACTTTTTCTTCAAATACACATTTTTAAGAATCAATACCAAAGACCATCCTTTATTGTAGTATTAGTTCATGGTAACTGCATGAAAACATTTCAGGAGGAATTTACAATTTCCAGCTTAAAGGACTCAGCCCGCTCAACATAACCTATTTATCAAAGTCCATTCATTAAAAAAAAGGCAAAGACCCTCCTGTTGGGCAGGAGGGCAAGGGACAAAGCAGGCTGAGGCAGGAGGACCGTCTCAGCCCAGGAGCTTGGAACTGGCCTGGGCAACATAGTGAATCCATCTCAACAAAAAAAATGGGTTTTTTTAATTAGCCAGGTGTGGTGCTGTGAGCTGGAGTCCCAGCTGTGAGGCGGGAGGCTTGCTTAGGCCTGGGTGATTGAGGCTGCAATGAGCTGTCATTGTGCCACCACACTCCAGCCTGGGCATCGCAGCCAAACTGTCTCAAAACCCAAAAAACTCAAGAATGTAATGATACCCAATGTGCCTTTTCTAGAAAAATTTGCCAAATATATATCTTGGATCTGCTGAGCATGTCCTCTGATAACGTAAGGCAAGCACGTTTCTACATCCAATGTTGAAGCCCGTTAATAAGGTTTTCAGAATCCAAATTGATGGCAGCTACTGATCCTTGGGACTGACATCGTCTGGGACTATCACCTGCAAAGAAACTACATTTCAATCTCACTTTCTGCACCAACTAACAGTCATTCACAGGGTAAGAGATATCTTCAGAAAACCGTAGGTTCACCACTACACAATCTGCCGGTAATTCCAGCTATTTTGGGTGATTTCATCATTTGATATCTTTTTCTTCAAGTGAGTTCTAACAAGATCAGCTGTTTATTCCACTGTGGGGTCGGGGGGGTGGGGGGCTCATTGGCTAGCTGAAGGCTTACCTCATCTTGGGCTGAGATGCTGCCACCGGCCCTAAAATTGCACTCCATTCTCAAAAACCTGGAGGAATGGAGAAAGCACACACATCTTAGAGACTGCAGACGCAGAGCAGGAAAGGTATTTCTGATGACAGCATCAATTATGACTTTACAAATTAAGGTCCATCCTAACAAAAGCCCCTTAAGATCTTATTAGAGGTAATTTTTTGCAAATTATTGAGAACTACAAATCTTAATTAGCTTCTCAGCGGGGGCTGTAATTTTTTTTTTTTTTTGAGACGGAGTCTCGCTGTTGCCCAGGCTGGAGTACAGTGGCAGGATCTCAACTCACTGCAACCTCTGCCTCCCAGGTTCAAGCGATTCTCCTAGCTCAGCCTCCCAAGTAGCTGGGATTACAGGTGCATGCCACCACGCCTGGCTAATTTTTGGTAGAGACTGGTTTTCACCATGTTAGCCAAGGTGGTCCTGAACTCCTGACCTCAGGTGATCCACTCGCCTCTGCCTCAGCCAGATTTGGCTCCGCACTACCCTGCCAGGCTGCCCAACACCGGGCCACAGTGCCCGCCGTGAAGGCCATGTGGGCACCAGAGCCGGGAAGCCATGCCATCTCAACAGCTGCCCTCCACCCTCTAGCCAGGCTTTCTGGGATCATCTCCCCAAAACCATAAAAGCTCGAGCTCTTTACTTTCTCTTGCCCTTAGCTACTATTCCCAGATCTCAAAGTGCTGGGATTACAGGCCACCACGCCCAGCCACAGGTGAGTTGTAATCTACATTTATGTTGCATCACTTTTAACTTCACAAACCTAAGATTACTTTTCCTTTTCACTTATGAGGAAAACTGCATCTTAGCAGACAGGTAATTTGCTCAAGACTAAACAGCCAAGAGCAACTCCTCTTTCTAGCTCTTCCACCCTGGCTCCAATGCCAACAGAAACCAAAATCAGTATCTCTGGGATAGGCTACACTATCACAAGGTATTAGGTTAGCCAAAGCCAACTGCCAATATTCGACCTGACAGCTAGGCATTATCAACCACTAGCCTCCCAGCAGACCAAGGCTTACCTCATGAAAGGCTCCTGGCTCCAATCCTAAGCTGCCAAACATGCTGATGAATCCTTCACCAATCTGCAACCTAGGTAAATATAGATAGCAATTAGGTCACCATTCAGACAAGTTTACTCCTGGGAACCAGCAAGAGATTTAGACTTGACTGCAATCAGGCAAGAGTAGCTTTCGTCAGTTATCGCTTCTGACGGCACTTCCTATTAGCGATTTCATCAGAGCAGTCAAGCACCTCCCGACTCTCCAGTTCTGCTCCAATCGGAGATCTAGACCCTACCTGAAACTTAAGGTAACACTGCCTTACAAGAGCCTCTGGAGACATTTCTTAACGAAGGAGTTTGTTTCTGCATGTAACTTCGCTTTAAATGCAGTTCTAGGTTAGAGCTGTGGCTGAAGCCGCCATCTCCAGTTTCTATTTAAGTTCCACACATGCAATGCCTTGACACGTGTTATAAAAAACATAAACACTTACACCTAAAAGTAGAAAACTGTCAAAATTCCTATTTCCGTGCATCCAAGATGACAAAAAACTAACTTACGTATTAAACCCGACCCCAAAGAGCCTCTTACCTCCTGGCTACCCCATCTTCAGCACTCTGCAATGGTTATGCAATCTGAAACAGGGAGTAAGGACAGGAATTCAGGGCAGGCTCTGGAAGTTATGGTAAACTAAATTGTGGAGATTCGAGCGACTGCGGTCAGATAGGCGTTAAACGTCGTCAGTTATCGCTTCTGACGGCACTTCCTATTACAAGTATCATCACGACAATCGAGTTAAGTCTTCCAGTAACAGCATTTCAATCTTACCGTTGTACACCGCCCTAGGAGTACCCCTAACTGGAAGCCAACCCCAACTTACCCTGTTCTCTCGGGTTTGCACACTGTCCATGGCAGGCCTAAGAACCGGGTCGCAGACTTCAGGCTCTTTCAACTGTGGCCCTACCACAGGGGTGATCCATGAGCTTCAGCCACGGCAGCCGGATTCGGCCCCGCGCTACCCTGCCAGGCTGCCCAACACCTGGCAGCGCCCGCCGCGAAGGCCACGTGGACGTCAGAGCCGGGGAGCCACGCCATCTCAACAGCTGCCCTCCGCCCTCTAGCCAGGCTTTCCGGCAACATCTCCCCAGAAACCACTAAAGCTCGAGCTCTTTATTCGCTCTTGCCCTTAGCTACTATTCCCATATACCTAAAGAGCCTACCTACATGACAAATGGAGCCAAAGGGTCGTACCGCCTGCAACCCAGGCCCTTAAGGAGTCGGAATATCCCATTCCTCACAAAAGAAGGGGGACGCTGGCAAAGACTCACGCCAAGTAGCGATACAGACCGCCGCGCTACTCAGAGCTCCCCCTCCTGTTTAGCCTATGGTCTCTTCCACAGCCCCGGGAATTCTGGGTCGCAAGAAGCGCGGCGAGTTCCAGGGCGCCTGCGCAATGGCTGAAGCGCGTTGTTTTTTTTTTTTTTTTTTGGGCCCCGCCTCCTCCACTCCCTAGCTGGGTGGTCTTGGGCCAATCACTCATCCTCCGTCAGCTTCCGATTGGTAGTCTGGAAAACCGTGACAGCCGCGCCCCAGAAGATCACGTGAGATAACACACGTGAAACCCTATAGAGCCTGGGCGCACGGCAAGCATTCATCCTACTAGCTCCTCCTGAATCTATTGAGGGTCGCCAAATACTCTCTCCACACCTGTTTTACCGTGTCCACGGGGTCGCTCAACCCCCCGCGCACTGACCACCCTTATCACTTGTTTAGCACGACCTTTAGGGAACGAGCGGACTTTATCTGGATCCAAGTCCATCCTCTGGGGTGAAGCTCTGGGGTAAAACCTCTGGGGTAAAGCTCTGCCCACCTCATTTCTTCTCTCATTTCCTGGGGCCTCTTTCACCTATGTCCCTGTCTCACTTTCCATGGAAAGCTCTCTCTACTGAGGCTTTCCTTTCAGCCTATGAACATGCTCCGCTCTCCTTGGAAAATAATCCATGCAAACACCTTTTGCACACACACGGTTATACCACGGGAGAGAAATTCATTTTGACTGCAAAAAACTGGGAAGGCAATCATAAGACCTTTTGAGCTGACCTCAGAAATAAGCGTAGGGTTTTAATGTAGGTGGGGAGCTTCCAGCCAAGAGCCAGGTCAAGGGATCAAGCACGAGGTCTCTTGGCTTGCATGAATTTGGGGAGAGTGCTAAAGAGGGTGAGGCAACAGGTGGAGAGGAGGTGTCCGGAAATGCTTGGGCAAAACCTTGGGGGTCTTGGGATGCCAGGTAGGGCATTCTGTGGTACTGGGGAGCCTGTCAAGCCTTCAGAGCACAAAGATGACATGTTTATCTCGTGTCTTAGGAAGGCCCCTCTGGCTGCCCTGCAGAGAATGGCTTGGGAGAGGGGGAAGATGAGCAAGAAGCCCAATAGGAAGAGAACGCAAGAGAGGTGGCTTTACTGGGTCTTTCCCAGGTGCCTGCCTGAAAGCAGGGTGGTTGTGGAAAGCAAAGGGTGTCGTGGTGGAGAAAGGAGAGGTGGCTGTTTGCCCATGCCCACCACCATATATCTGCCACAACAATGAGCACAGCACCTCAGCCAGCTGCCTGTAACCAGGTAAAGGACAGTCCCCAGACTTAGGGACATGGGGGTAAGGGTGGGGACACAGCAGCTGAGGGTCTCTGTGTCCAGGCAAGGGCAGGAGCAACCTAGTCCCACACACCGACCTGTGCACACAGAGACATCTGGACATAACCAGCTTTAAGGGTCCCAGCAACTCTGCTCAAATAATGTTTCCAGAAGAGTTAGTTTGGGAAAAAATATATTTGCCACCAGAATTCACTGGAGTCTCAGAGCCAGCAGGTGTGGCTAGAAAGACCCCCTGCTCTGTCCTCAGGCTCCTGCTGCATCTGGCCATCAGCTGGACTGGAGGAGCTGGAGGGACATGTGGTCTTCCTCAGAGGCACCATCCTCATCCTTGGGTGGGGAAGCCAGGACAGGGTTCTTGAGAGTTCCTGTAAACAGATGGCACGTACTGTGGCGTAACCCTTGAGTGTGTCCCCAGGAAGCAGGCACCAGGGAAACAGAAGGGGCCACAGTCATGAAAACATGTCATGCCGTGGGGACAGCCTCAGCGATCCTGGAGGCCAGCAATCCCTCTCCCTGCTTCCCTCATTCCACAAGCATTTCCCAATCCCCTGCCTTGTCAGGGTCTTCCCCCACCCCCCTCCCTGCCCCCTGCCACCCCTAGGAGTTTAAAGCGCCTGGAGGTGACAGGCTTGTGTGTCAGAGACAGAACACCTGAGACATGCTGGAGGAGCTCAGAGGAGAGGGGACCCATCCCACAGGGGAGGTGGCGGATTTGGACACCCAGAGGGGAGGAAGAGCACATCCAACAGATGAATCCGGAGAAGACCTAAGGAAAGCAAAGAGCAAGGAGCACTGCAGACGCGTGGATGGGGGTGTGGGGAGTGGGTCAGAGAACAGCTTCGGGCCCTGAGCTCCACTCTGAGGAGTGTGGCCTTCCAGGCAGTGGGAGGCTGTGTGTAGTTTTTGTTCACATTAGCAGGACTGGAGTGGGATAAGGGTACAGGCTGGGCCGCCCTGCAGTGGTGCAGAAGCAAAACGTGAGAGGCAGGGCAGAGGGATGAGTGGCCGCCTGAGAGGTCAAGGACACCCAGCTCAATGTGGGAAAGCTGGTATGGGGGAGGATAGGCCGAGACTCTCAAGGCCTCCTACCTGGGTGAGGAGGGGGTGGGGTGACATACATGTGACCTGCTGGGGCAGCCCCAAGGCTGCACCTGTTGGGAATGTCATATTGGAGGCCCCAGCAGGCAGTGGGGTGTGTAGTGCTTGGGGCAAGATGAGGGAGGGACAAGGTGACTCTCCTGGCATTGTAGTAAAGGGAGGGAGATGCAAAGAGAGGGTGAAAGGAAACCTATCAGTATGAGAGGCCATGGTCACGGCCCAGGAGCCTGGGAAACCGGCAGGCTTTGGGGCAGAAGAGGCCAGAGGAGCGTCCCCACAACAGGGGCCATGGGCGACTCAGGAGGCTGTTGTGGGAGGCGACAGGCACGAATAGATGAAATTTGTCAGGGAGGAGAAGGAGAAAGACGAAGTGAACCGTGGAAGGTGGGAGCTATTGAAGGTTCTAGAAAGAAAGGGTATGCAGTGGAGAGAGCTAATCCTCAGAACAGGCCTCTGAGGGTGAGAGGAAGGAACTGGTCTTGGTGGAGGCAGCAGGGTGGGGACGGGAGGGGCCATCACTACACTAGAATGGAAAGGACACTGGCCGTGGGAAGTGGGGGAGGCGTGGGAAGTGGTTTCTCAGAGGTGGGGGACTTGGGGTGTGAAGGAGCTGAGGGCCTGTGCAGGGCAATGCCTCTGAGGGCCCAGGGAAATGCTGCCTGTATTGTGGGCTGGGCTGTGACACAGCCCTTCCTAGCTTATTCCCCTGCTGGGTCCCCAGGCTCAGCCCAGGCCTGGCTGGGGGCAGACCCTCAATAACCCATTGAATGGGCAAAGGGTGAAACTGACTGGCATTGGGGAGAGGGCAACCAGAGGCTGGGCTGGTGGAAGCGCTAACAGCCTCAGAGCTTTTCCCTGGTTCCTGCCTGAAAGCAAGATGGGGGTGGACACGACAGGAGAGCAACACCGTTTTAAGGAGGCAGTCCCTGTAAGAGGAGCTGGCATGCGGGGAGCTGCAAAGTGACCAACAGGAGGTCTCTGGGTCCCGCCCCAGACTCTCGAAGGCTTTGTGGCCAAGCAGCAGAGACACACACACACACCCAGGGTGGAGGCTCCAGTCACCACGCTACTCACGAGGGACGTCTGCCCCTGACGGGTCCTCACACAGCGTAGGCAGCGTCTGCTCCCATGAAGCCCAGTTCACCTCCTCCACCCTGAGGACAACAGAGCAGCCGAGGTTTGCCTGCTTGGGCCACCCACCCCCACCCTGGAGAAGGACCTGCTCTAGTGGACACAGAGAAGAGACCCTGAGGGGGACAGGCTTTCTCTCTGCAGGGTTCTGGGCCACCCCCTTGGAACCCTGTCCTGTGAGGCAGGTACCCACTTGCAGAAATCAGCATCCACCCCTTCTGACTGTTGACAGCAGCCTAGGTTGCCCAGAGCAACCAGAGAAGAGAAATTCAGATCAGGTGTATCTGTGCTCTCGGGTTCTAGGGCCTTTCATGGCTGCTCCACATGCCTAAGACCGTCTCTCAGCTTATCTGCTGCCTCACGGCAGTGTCTGTTTTCAGATGTGTGTTTGTCACTAGGTTCCCTCTCCCAGTGTCCCAGCCTTTCCTGGACACAGAAGGGCACGTTCTCCATGGAACGGGTTGTAGCTCCGAGATCAGGCTGGCAGAATTGGGGCTGAAGAGACACAGAGCAGCCAGGGCAAGGCTAGAGTGCTGGGAACCCAAGGGTCCCTCTGACTTCTTGGCCTCCTTACTGTACCACATTTCAGGCAAAAGGAGCAATCTGAGATCACCAGGAGGGAACCTTCAGTTTAAGCCACTGGGACAGGCAGATGGCCAGGCAGGCAAAGCCACAGACATGGCAGCCATGGCTTGTAGGACCCGGACCCCTGACCTCACCTGCTCGGGCTCAGTCCCTGGTGCTCTTTGAGCCTGCCCTTCCCACCAGACCTGGCTCCTGGCAGCTGTGCCCTGCACTGCAAGGGGGCCCCAGGGATTGCCCCCAGAGACCCTCCCACCCCTCACTCACCTGAAGCACCAGCGCTCATCGGGGCTGCCATCTGCCTTAGTGCCGACGGTCAGCATCACGCCTGCCCGCCGCTGCTTCTTCCTGTACCACCAGTAGCCGTTCTCCATTTCCAGGACAGAGATGGCTTTCTGGGGACAAAGGATGTATCAGAACGGCCTGGGACTCTCCGTGGGGGCAGAGGCACACAGGGCAAAGGGAGCAGGAAGGTGCCCCGCAGCACTTCACAGTATAACCTGAAGTCAACTAAACACGCGGATTCGTGGCATTAGGCCCTCAGCCTCTCTGCATCTCAGTTTCCCCATTTGTAGACTGAGGACAAAGTGCCTCAGACAGCTGATGGGAAGTCAGTACGTCACAAGTACTTGACAGCTACTTGCTCTGACATTGTTCCAGCTCCAGATTGCCACACCACCAGGAACAGAATTTCATTTGCTCACCCCACACATGTGCCTTCCCAGAGGCATGCCAGTGACTCAGGTGGGGCACAGAACTTTGCAGAGGAGGGCACCAAGGCTCAGAGGAGATAAGGGGGTTCCCCAAGATCAACAATGAATTGACAGCAGGGTGGGGCGCAGTGACTCACACCTATAACACCAGCACTTTAGGAGGCCAAGGCGGGTGGATCACCTGAGGTCAGGAGTTCAAGACCAGCCTGACCAATCTGGTGAAACCCTGTCTCTACTAAATCCAAAAAAATTGTGGGGCGGGGTAACACATGTCTGTCATCCCAGCTACTTGGGAGACTGAGGCGGGAGAATCACTTGAACCCAGGAGGCAGAGGTTGCAGTGAGCCAAGATTGCTCCATTGCACTCCAGCCTGGGCAACAAGAGTGAAACTCCATCTCAGAAAAAAAAAAAAAAAAAAAGAAACCCTGGTCAACAATGATGATAATAGTAGCTGGTGGCACACTGAGCACCTACTATGTGTGGGGGACTGTCCTGAGTACATCTTTTTTTTCTTTTTTTTTTGAGACAGAGTCTCACTCTTGCCCAAGCTGGAGTACACTGGCGTGATCTGAGCTCACTGCAACCTCTGCCTCCCAGGTTCAAGCAATTCGCCTGCCTCAGCCTCCCAAGCAGCTGGGACTAAAGGCGCACACTGCCACACCTGGCTAGTTTTTTGTATTTTAGTAGAGACGGGTTTCACTGTGTGGTACAGGCTGGTCTGAAACTCCTGAGCTCAGGCAATCCACCTGCCTCGGCCTCCCAAAGTGCTAGGATTACAGGCAGGAGCCACAACACCCAGCCTGTCCTGAGTACATCTATGAGCTTCTTAAAGGAGGAGGGAGTAGGCCGGGCGCGGTGGCTCACGCCTGTAATCCCAGCATTTTGGGAGGCCGAGGCGGGTGGATTACGAGGTCAAGAGATGGAGACCATCCTGGTCAACATGGTGAAACTCCGTCTCTACTAAAAATACAAAAAAAAAAATTAGCTGGGCATGGTGGCATGTGCCTGTAATCCCAGCTACTCAGGAGGCTGAGGAAAGAGAATTGCCTGAACCCAGGAGGCAGAAATTGCGGTGAGCCGAGATCGCACCATTGCGCTCCAGCCTGGGCAAGAAGAGCAAAACTCTGTCTCAGGAAAAAAAAAAAAAAAAGGAGGAGGAGGGAGTAATCCAAGCACTTCAGGAGGCTGAGGTGGGAGGATCAGCCGAGGCTGGGCGTTCAAGACCAGCCTGGGCAACAGAGTGAGGCCCCCTTCTCTAGAAAAAATAAAAATATTAGCTGAGTGTGGCGGCGTGTGCCTGTAATACCAGGTACTCAGGAAGCTGAGGAAGAAGGATCACTGGAGCTTAGGAGGCCGAGGCTACATTGAGCTGTGATCATGCCACTGCATTCCAGCCTGGGTGACAGAGCAAGACCTTGCCTCAAGGAAAAAAAAAAAAAGGGAGGAGAAAGACTCTGACAAGATAGAGCTGCCCAACCTGGCAGCCTCTGGCTAGGGAAGGCCCAGCTCCACAGGGTCCCGAGCACTCCCCACCGCCTGAGTGTGGGGTGGGGTGGGGGCAGGGAGCCTCCCTGGTGACACCTGCAGCTTCCAGATGCTCCAGCTGTCTGTGGCGACACTGTTGACGGTCTCGTTCATGAGGGCGATGAGCATGTTGAGCAGCAGGATGTAGGTGAGGAGCACATAAGCCAGCAGCAGCAGCAGCACCATGCCGCGGAAGTGCAGCTGCTCCTCAAAGGCCAGCTCGCCCATGCCGATGGTGAATTTGAAGAGCTCCAAGGAGGCTTCCAGGATGTTCCCATACGGGGACGTGTTCTCCTTCTCCTTCTGTCCCTCCACAGGCTGCGCTGACTCTGTGGCATTGGAGCCTGTGGGAGCTTCGGGGCGCCAAGCCTCCTGGCTCAGGCTCACCAGGGCTATGGGATGGAGAGAGAGGGGTCCTCAGCCCAGGAGACCTGCAGGCAGCCTTGAGGGTATACAGGGTGGACAGGGGACTTGGGGAATGGGGAGGGGACTGGAGGGAGCCATTACCTACAGCGAAGCCAAAAAGGAAGACTAAGTAGACCAGAAGGAAGCGCAGCAGGTCCCGAAGGATGACCTGAAACACATGTGCCCAGGGGCTAGGGTGGGTAGCTGGGCCACCAGGCATGACCCCAGACCCCTGCCTCATCCACTGCAGCCTGGTTCCCATGTACACTGCACATACACACACATAGTGTGCATATGTGGGCCCTGTAGAGACACACTGAGCAGAGGAGTCTTATATCTCAGATCACATTGTTTTCCTGCTTCCATCTCTCTGGTAGCTGGGCACGGTGGCACAAACCTACAGTGCCAGCTACTTGGGAGGCTGAGGCAAGAGGATTGCTTGCACCCAGGATGTCAAGGCTACAATGAGCTATGATCGTTTCATCACACTCTAGCCTGGGTGATGGAATGAGACCCAGCTCAAAAAAAAAAAAAAAAAAAAAAAAAACCTTCCAGGGTCAAAAACTTAAATATAGAAACTACCATATGACCGAGCAATTTCAGTTCTATGTATGTATATACCCTAAAGAATTGAAAACAGGGACTCTAACGGGTACTTGTATACCCTTGTTCATAATTGCATTATTCCCAATGGAAGCAACAGGTGACTGAATCGACAGATGAATGGACGCACAAAATGTGGAATACTATTCAGCCTTAAAAAGGAAGGAACTGGGTGGGTGCAGTGCCTCAGCCTATAATCTCAGCACTTTGGGAGGCTGAAGGAGGTGGATCACCTGAGGTCAGGAGTTCAAGGCCAGCCTGGCCAACATGGCAAAACCCTATCTCTACTAAAAATACAAAAAAGTAGCCACTCGTGGTGGCACATGCCTGTAGTCCCAGCTACTGAGGAGGTTGAGGCAGAAGAATCACTTGAACCTGAGAGGCAGAGGTTGCAATGACCCGAGATCACCACTACACTCCAGCCTGGGCGACAGAGTGAGACTCCATCTTAAAAAAAAAAAAAAAAAAAAAAATGGGTGGGGACGGGGTGGGGGGTAGTTGGGGACAGATAGCATGGGGGAGAAATGCCAGATATAGGTGATGGGGAGGAAGGCAGCAAATCACACTGCCATGTGTGTACCTATGCAACTATCTTGCATATTCTTCACATGTACCCCAAAACATAAAATGCAATAAATAAAAAAAAAAAAGCCGGGCACAGTGGCTCCAGTGGCTCACACCTGTAATCCCAGCATTTTGGGAGGCCAAGGCAGGCAGATCACGAGGTCAGGAGATCAAAACCATCCTGGCTAACACAGTGAAATCCCGTCTCGACTAAAAATATAAAAAATAAAAAATTAGCTGAGCTTGGTGGCACACGCCTATAGTCCCAGCTACTTGGGAGGCTGAGGCAGGAGAATCACTTGAACCCGGGAGGTGGAGGTTGCAGTGAGCTGAGATTGTGCCACTACACGCAGCCTGGGTGACAGAGCCAGACTCCATCCCGAAAAAAAAAAAAGAAGGGATTTCTGACACATGCTACAACATGGCTGGTCCTTGAGGACATTTTACTCAGTGAAATAAGGCAGATATAAAAGGACAAATACTCTATGATTTCACTTATATGATGTAGCTAGGGTCGTCAAATTCATAGAAACAGAAAGTAGAATGTTGGTTTCCAGGGACTGGGGGAAGGAGAGAATGGAGAGTTGTTTAATGGGCATTGAGTTTCAGTTTGAGATGACAAGAAAGTTCTGGAGATGGATGGTGGTGATGGTTATACAAGTGTGAATGTACTTAATGACACTTAGCTGAATACTTTTTAAAAATGGTTAAAATGGGCCAGGCATAGTGGCTTACACCTGTAATCCCAATACTTTGGGAGGCCAAGGCAGGCCGATCACCTGAGGCCAGGAGTTTGAGACCAGTCTGGCCAACATGGTGAAACTCTGTCTCTACTAAAAATACAAAAATTTTTGGCCAGGGGCAGTGGCTCAGGCCTATAATCCCAGCACTTGGAGAGGCCAAGGCAGGCAGATCACCTGAGGTCAGGAGTTCAAGACCAGACTGGCCAAGATGGTAAAACCCTGTCTCTACTAAAAATATAAAAATTATATGTAAGTGGTGGTGCATGCCTGTAATCCCAGCTGCTCAGGAGGCTAAGACAGGAGAATCGCTTGAACCTGGGAGACGGAGGTTGCAATGAGCCGAGATCGCACCACTGCACTCCAGCCTGGGCAACAGAGCAAGACTCTGTCTCAAAAATAAATAAATAAATAAATAAAAATACAAAAATTAGCCGGACATGGTGGTGGGCATCTGTAATCCCAGCTACTGAGGAGACTGAGGCAGGAGAGTCACTTGAACCCAGGACGGGGAGAATGCAGTGAGCCGCGATGGTGCCATTGCACTCCAGCAGCCTGGGCAATAAGAGTAAGACTCTGTCTCAAAAAAAAAAAAGTGAAGTTCTGTGTTAAGTGTATTTTGCTACAATTTAAAAAAAAAAAAAAAAAAAAAAGCCTCTGGGGACTCCAAACCCCTCCCCGTGGACAGAGACTTGGCCCTTCCCTTCCTCCCAACCTCCCTACCTCCACCCTCCTGCCATCTCCCCATCCACCCAGCCTCCTCGCCTTATTCCAAGCACCCCAAGCTGCTTCTGGCTCACAACAGCCATTGCTGTGCCCTCTGTTGAGACTATTTCCTCCTCCCCACTACAGTGGCTCAATCATTCTTTCAGGTCTCAGTTTAAACATCCCTTCTTTATTTATTTATCCATTTTTATTTATTGACTTTTTGAGATGGTGTCTCGCTCTGTGGTCCAGACTGGAGTGCAATGACATGATCTCGGCTCATTACAACCTCTGCCTCCCAGGTTCAAGTGATTCTCCTGCCTCAGCCTCCTGAGTAGCTGGGATTACAGGCATGCACCACCACACCTGGCTAATTTTTGTATTTTTAGGAGAGATGTGGTTTCACCATGTTAGGCTGGTCTCGAACTGCTGACCTTGTGATCTGCCTGCCTCAGCCTCCTGAAGTGCTGGGACTGTAGGCCTGAGCCACTGCACCTGGCCATATCCCCTCTTTAGAAAGGCTTCCCAGACCATCCCATCTAAAGGGTACTTGGTCCCAGCCATTCTCCATCACGTTGTCCTGTGCATTTCCTTCACAAAATTTTAGCCGGGTGTGGTGTCTCAAGCCTGTAATCCCATCACTATGGGAGGCTGAGGTGGGCAGATCACCTGAGGTCAAGGAGTTCGAGATCAACTTGACCAACACAGTGAAACCTGTCTCTACTAAAAATACAACAATTAGCTGGGCATGGTGGCACATGCCTGTAGTCCCAGCTACTCTGGAGGCTGAGACAGAGAATTGCTCGAACCTGGGAGGCGGAGGTTGCAATGAGCCGAGATCACACCATTGCACTCCAGCCTGGGCAACAAGAGTGAACTCTGTCTCAAAAAAAAAAAAAAAAAAAAAAAAAAAGCAGTATGGAACGTTCTCAGTTGTTCAGTTGTTTTCTTAAGGTTTTCATTTCCTCCCACTAGAACTTCAGCTTCAGGGGAGCAAGGACATGTTTTGTTCTCTGCTATATTCCCATCACCTAGAACAGGGCCCAGCCCACAGTAGGCATTCCCTAAACAGGCACTGAATACATAGATGAATGCAGTTACATGCCCACACATCCCAGGATAGACACTCAGATGAGCTTATACATATATTCTCTGTTCCTTGCATGTGGAAGGATGCACATGGTCCCATGTGGACACCCGCAAACACATATACGTGCACGTGTTTGTGTGTGCATGCAGAGCCCTGAGAGAGGCATGTGCGTGCCTGTACTTAAGCTTCCATCCAGCAAGTGTCTGGGTGCCGGTGCGCAGGCGGATGTACACATGCTCTCCTCTGCCTAGGTCAGCTGTGGAGGAAGGCTCTGGCCTGATGAAGCCAAAGAGTCCCACCAGGCCACCCCTTCTCTCACCTTCTGGATCATGACACTGTAGATGCCTGTGTGCTGGAAGCCACGGGTATAGTAAAGCAGGTTGAGCCAGCCCAGCACCAGCGCAGACACGAGCAGGGGCAGGTACCACTCGATGGCCAGGAAACACAGCACCTGGGACAGCACCGTGAGCAGGGCCTGGAGCAGGCTGTATGGGAGCAGGATCCAGGTGGGCTTGCTGGTACTTGACTCCCTGAGCCCCCACTGGCCTGCCCTGACCTCCATCTTAGGCAAGACATTTGACCTCTGTGGGCCTCAGTTCCCTCCCACTGTCAAATGGGAACAATAATAATGATGCCTGACTCATAGAGTGTTTTCAAGGACTAAGTGAAACAGGTGTGTGGTGAGGCCCGGTAAATGTCACTATCCCCATCTACAATGATGGCAGCACAAAGGGCCCCAGGCCGGACAGCACCGCAGACTCCTGGGTCTGGCCTGTACACAGGTCCCGACTTCCTGGGCCCCATGTCCTTGCCTCTAAAGCCAACCTGGTGCCTTCTGCCACACCTGCCCCTTCCAGACCTCAGAGGCAGTTGAAGGGAGGAGGAATGACACCCACGTACAAGAGGATTTCAAAGTAGCTGTCTATGAACGAGATCCAGACGAACAGGTGGCGCCGCCAGAAATACCACAGCTGCAGAGGAAGGAAGGACAGAGGGCTGTGAAACCTGCTGTCCCGCACGCTCCCTGCTGGCCTGGCTGAGTGGGAGCCTGCCCCCCGGGCTAGGGCTAAGTCAGCAGCTTTGGTTTTGGGGGACTCATAAATACTTCTGATAGCTGAGATCGCTTGGGACTCTTTCCAGAAAGAGCAGCCACCTAGGCAAGGCCAAGGGGTACAGATGAAGAGCCTGCATACTGCATGGAGGAAGGGGGGAGAGCCTTTCCCTTCCCTTCTCCCTGGCCTCACAGGGACCACCCATACCCCAGCCAACCTGGCTTTGGTGCCCATGCTCTGCCCACTCTGAGGAGGTCCCAATGTCTTGGTGCCCAGCCTGTGTCCTGCAGGCTTACGGCATTTCCCACTGAAGAGGCCTTACTGGGGAAATTAGCCTGAGCCCCACCCTGGTCTCTGTGCTCCCCAAAAAGGGAATGTCCCAGCCGAGGATCCTGGCTGGGGGCAGGGGCTTCCAGCTCCATTCCTTGGGGAGCAGAGCCTGTACTGCCAAGGAATCAGAGAAGCCATCTGCTACCCGAAGAAACCCCAAGAGCACAGCAGAGGGGTCTCAGGCCTCAGAAGGCAAGGCCAGAACCTCTGGCCCTCAGCTGCGGCGAGGCTGGTTGCTCTGGGTGGGACTGGGTTTTGTAGGTGAGGGGATGCAGGTAACTTGCTCTAAGCCCCGTGAAGCAGAATTCTAGGTTTGCTTCTTGGTGGGAGAAGGGGAGGAGCACTCACCTGGCCCACGAGGATGTAGAGCCCCCCTAGCAGGATAAGGATGTGGCCCGCCAGCAGCATGGAGTTTCCAACCTCCGCTTTCAGGTGGGGGTCAGCCTGCTGAAGACACACTCAGATGAGACCCAGGGCCTTGGGTCCTCTCTCCAACAGCTCACCTTAGAGAGCTGAAGCTGAGGGCCCACCCTGAGCCTGAGCTGTGGAGAGGCCCCTCAGAATGGCGGGGAAACATGGGCTCCAGGGAAGGACCCTGGATCCTGAGAGGCACATCGTGTAGCATTTGAGTATTGGGTCTAAGGCCAGACTGTCTGGATTCAGTTCCTCTCTCCACACCACTTCCACCCTGTGTGACCCTGGGCAAGTTACTTAACCTCTCTGTGCCTCCCCTCCCTCTACTATAAACCGGGGTGATAATAGTTCATCATCTCAGGGGTGGTGGGAACATTGATTAGTCAACACACGTCCATCGCCTGGAATCCTTTTTCACATACAGTGAGCACTCAGCAAATCTTTACTGTATCGGCATTAGTACCAGGATGCTGGCTCCCAAAAGCTCGAGCATGTCACTCCAGCAGCGCATGCCTCAGCACTCTCCCTGTCCCACCTTCCCCCAGGGGCGTTTCAAGCAGGTCTCCCCCAAGATGTGCCCCCTCCGCCGGCCCCACTCTTGCCTTCTTCAGGGCAGGCTGATGGTAGGCAACGGTGGTGAAAATTAACATGTAGATCAGATTACACAGGAAGTTTAAGAAGAACCTGGGGATGAGCAGATCCCATTTCTCCTGCAGCAGTTTGTTCAGGGGCTCCAAAACCACCATTCGGTGTCGGTGCTGGGTAGGGAGGGGAGAGCCGGGGGTACATTCAGCAGTGCAGATAGGCTGCCCACTCCATGTCAGGATCAGAGCAAGGGCCCAGAAAATGGAGAAGAGAGGACAGGGAGCAGCCTTCCACACCCCAGGAGCCCTGAAGGACCTCACCCAACCCTCCCAACTACAGTGTAACCACTCTTTTGGTCACACTGGTGACCAAAAGTGGTCACACTGCTGGTTAACAGAGGGGACCTGGATGGCTGCCTCAAAGCCCTTGGCATGATCCCCATGCTGGATGGGACTGGGGTGTGGATTGAGTGTGGGCCTGGTGGCCATGGTCAGGGTCGTGCCTGCTGGGACATGCAGCCACACCCCCACTGGCACAGGAATGGGGCAGATATGGTCCAGCAGGCAGCCCCAATTTGTGGACCTTGCTGGGAGCTCTGCTTGGTCCTCTACGTGCACCCATGCCGCTGTGGGCTCACCGGGCTCTTGCAATGAAAGGCGATGATCTCCAGCACCGAGTTCTCTTCCCAGCTGTCCACAGAAGCCAGGTCATACAGCGACACCCGGACAGGCCCATAGCACCACTCCGTGAACTTTCGGGAAAGGGGCTGACTCGGTCCCGAGAACTCCCGCTGCAGGATGTGGCTGAAAATCTGCAGGGTGGTCATGTGAGCTTGCCTTCACAGTCCCCTCCCAGCACTGATCCTGGGCCAAGGCTGGCAAACACCCAGGACCCTGCAGCTGCCACGATCTGCAGAGCTGCAGCTAACACGTGCATGTGCCCGTGTACCCGCAGGTCCTTGTGTGTCCAAACTCTTAAACACACACCCAGTCACATATGCCCCAGCCTGCCAGCCAGCCTGGCTCTTCCTTCCCCTCCCCCATCCCGTGGCCCTCTTCCCTGAACTCCTCAAATGACAGAGCGATCCTTAGCCCTGGGGTCATTGAGGCCCCTGAGATCAGAGTCTACCAGCTGTATCTGTGTGTGCACTTTTGTGGTCAGAGTCCGGAATCTTCAACAGACCAGAGAGTGGCCCCCAGTCGGAACAGGTTAGAAAGGAATCTGGTTTCACACATGAGGAATGGGAAAGGAGGAACAGAGCAGGGGACTGCTGTCATAGGTCACGACACAGCAGTGCCTCTAGACAACAAAGTGAGGTTCACACGCCCCAGGAAGCACTCCAAGATACTTGGGAGGGTAGTGAAAAAGGGTTAAAACTTCTATTTATGAGTCGGGCGCAGTGGCTCACACCTGTAATCCCAGCAGTTTCCGAGGCTGAGGCAGGCAGATCATGAGGTCAGGGGATTAAGACCAGCCTGACAAACGTGGTGAAACCTCATCTCTACTTAAAAATACAAAAATTAGCCAGGCCTGGTGGCGCACATCTGTAACCCCAGCTACCTGAGAGGTGAAGGCAGGAGAAATTGCTTGAACCCGGGAGGCAGAGGTTGCTGTGAGCTAACTGCACTCCAGTCTGGGTGACAGAGTGAGACCATCTCAAAACAAAAAAAAAAATCTTCTATTTATGTTTATTGTTTCCTTAATCTTTCAGAAATCTCCACTGTACATCCATGAGGCCAGCCCTGGTAAGCTATTGGTAAGCTATTTGGAACAAAGTAGGGGCCGTTACGTGAACTCTTCCTACCAGAATAACTTCCAGCTAGGCATTAAAAATACAACTGCAGGGCCGGGCACGGTGGCTCACACCTATAATCCCAGCACTTTGGGAGGCCGGGGCGGGTGGATCACGGGGTCAAGAGATCAAGACCATCCTGGTCAACATGGTGAAACCCTGTCTCTACTAAAAATACAAAAATTAGCTGGGCATGGTGGCGCATGTCTGTAATCCCAGCTACTCAGGAGGCTGAGGCAGGAGAATTGCTTGAACCCAGAAGGCGGAAGTTGCGGCGAGCAGAGATCACGCCATTGCACTCCAGCCTGGGTAACTAGCGAAACTCCATCTCAAAAAAAAAAAAAAATACAACTGCAAAAGAAAATAATGTGTATGAAGATTATATATACTATATGTAATTATATATTATAATATACAATGGTCATAACACATTATGTACATATAACTTATATTATATATATAATCTTATAGCAGGAATTAGACAATAGCAAAACCAAGGAATCTTAGAGGAAAAGATAATTACACTTGCAGATTTAACAATTTTTAAATTCTGTGTGGCAAAAAAATTATAAAATTCAAAACACAAATTATGACCTAAGGCCGGGCGCGGTGGCTCAAGCCTGTAATCCCAGCACTTTGGGAGGCCGAGGTGGGTGGATCACGAGGTCCAGAGATCGAGACCATCCTGGTCAACATGGTGAAACCTCGTCTCTACTAAAAATACAAAAAATTAGCTGGGCATGATGGCACGTGCCTGTAATCCCAGCTACTCAGGAGGCTGAGGCAGGAGAATTGCCTGAACCCAGGAGGCGCAGGTTGCGGTGAGCCGAGATCCCGCCATTGCACTCCAGCCTGGGTAACAAAAGCAGAACTCCGTCTCAAAAAAAAAAAAAAAAACAAAAAAAAAAAACAAAAAACAAATTATGACCTAAGAGAAATTTTAAGTGTCATAGTAGACAAATTCTAAATTCATTATAAAGTTGTCAATAAATATGCAGAAACAGAAGACCAAATCTTTTTTTTTTTTTTTTTTTTTTTTTTGAGATGGAGTTTCGCTCTTGTTACCCAGGCTGGAGTGCAATGGAGCGATCTCGGCTCACCGCAACCTCCGCCGCCTGGGTTCAGGCAATTCTCCTGCCTCAGCCTCCTGAGTAGCTGGGATTACAGGCACGTGCCACCATGCCCAGCTAATTTTTTGTATTTTAGTAGAGACGGGGTTTCACCATGTTGATCAGGATGGTCTCGATCTCTTGACCTTGTGATCCACCCGCCTCGGCCTCCCAAAGTGCTGGGATTACAGGCTTGAGCCACCGCGCCTGGCCTAGAGGACCAAATCTAATAGCAAAACAAGCAACAGATATAAAAAGATTGTCTCTTAATAAAGAAACCCAAATAATTTTTTTTAATTCCCAATGGTTTATAATGTAAACTATTAATTCAGTAGTTCATATACAAATTATGAATAAACACACATATATTAGAGGTACATACTGAACATTTTCTTACTAACAAGAGTGTTCCATTGAAAAGCAGAGAAACCTCTGCTCTTCATCACCCCCAGGCTCTTTCTGCAGAAAGTTTTCGGTGAGACCTACTGCTTCCTGGACAGGGAAGATGGGAAGGGGACAGCCACTCACCTCAATCTTGCCCTCTTTGGCAGCCAGCTTCAGAGGCGTGAGACCCTGCAGGTTGGGGATGTCCTCAAGCTGCACGGTGGGGCAGAGGCGGGCTCCAGCTTGGAGGAGTCCATCATACATGCTGGTCACCAGTGCGATGTTCTCAGCTGAGTTGTCCGAGATCATCACCAGGGCATGCAGCACCGTGTTGCCCTGGGAGTCAGTGGCCTGCAGGCTGGCGGGCTGGTGCGGGTTTTCCAGGAGGTAGCTCACCACATCCCACTGCTTGGTGCAGGCCGCCAAAGAGAGGGGTAGCTCACCTGCAGGCCGAGAGAGCAGCTTGGGCCCCAGGCCTCCTGGTTTCCACCTGCCTACTCCTCACGCCCCTTGAAGCAGGTCAGGCTTCTTCACCACTGAAGGGAGCAGAACAGGGACCAGCCACCCAAGGTCCCCTTCGCCCCTGACTTTCGCTGTCTCCTTTGCCAGAGCCCAGGCATGCTGCCTCTTTATTCAGGCTCTGCCTGGTCAAGTCACACGCCAGTGCTAGCAGCCCACTGCTCCCTTCCCTGGGTCTGGGTTTGGGTGCATGCCATCCTCTGGCCAGACAATGATGAAACATCTCTTATGACAAATTAATGCTGGATGCAATGGCACACACTTGTAGCCCCAGCTCGAGAGGCTAAGCAGGAGAATTGTTAGAGCCCAGGAGTTTGAGGCTGGCGTGGGCAAAAGACAAACTGCTTTTGCAGGCAGCCTAGTGGTCAGAAGCAGGACATCGGGCTCGGACAGACCTAGGTTTAACTGCCAGCTCTGTCATACGCTAATTGTGTGACCTTGAACAAAGCTTTACCCTCTCTTTGCCTCAACTTATCCAAGAAAGGCTCACTCACCGAAATAAAAACAAGTCCCTTGGCCCTTCTGGAAGAAGCGGCCGCAGGCCCGGGCGTGCACGTCGGCCCCATTCTCCACCAGGAGCTTCACACACTGCAGACTCCTCTTCTCAATGGCGATGTGCAGAGCGCTGTGGCCTCGGTAATAGTCATCCTTACACTGGGCACTTACCAGGGGCTGAGGATTGCCGGAGTGCTGGTCGATCTGCAGCAGCGGCAGGATGCAGGCGTTGACCCCATCCTTAAGATTCAGCACAGCCTTCATCAGGCACGTCTTCCCTGTGGAGCCCTCTGTGGGAAGAAGCGGGGGGCAGGGGCACAGTGGTGCTGAAACCAGGAGCGGCTGGGCTGCTCGATAGCCCGGTATAGCAAATCCAGCTCAAAGTACCCCTTGGGAGGATTAAAAGAGATGCTACGCACAACTGGTGGGAGCACAACCATGTTATAAAGTATTAAGGCTCCAAGTAACAGACAAGAAACACTGGGCTGGGCACCATGGCTCATGTCTGTAATCCCAGCACTTTGGGAGGCCAAGGCGGGCAGATCACCTGAGGTTGGGAGTTCAAGACCAGCCTGACTAACACGGAGAAACCCCGCCTCTACAAAAAATACAAAATTAGCCAGGCATGATGGCACATGCCTGTAATCCCAGCTACTCGGGAGGCTGAGGCAGGAGAATCGCTTGAACCGAGGAAGCGGAGGTTGCGGTGAGCCAAGATGGCACCATTGCACTCCAGCCTGGGCAACAAGAATGAAACTCCATCTCAAAAAAAAAAAAAAAGAAGAAAAGAAAAAAAGAAATACCAACAAGTCTGACTACAATTTTTGTCCTAGAAACTAAGTTTCTAAGACATAAGTCATCATCATTTATGAAATGCTGTCTACACAAGAATATTCAGAGCAGTATCTGTACATAACTCCACCACTTAATGTCTCTGTCTCCTCTGGCAAGTCACGTGGCCTCTCTTAACCTCAATTTTTCTTACTGTAAAATGGGAATGTTCCAGGGTTATAGTAAGGTTCAAAGGGAATAATATAAGGCCAGGCGTGGTGACTCATGCCTGTAATCACAGCACTTTGGGAGGCCAAGGCAAATGGATCACAAAGTCAGGAATTCGAGACCAGCCTGGCCAACATGGTGAAACCTCATCTTTACTAAAAATACAAAAATTAGCCACGTGCAGTGGTGGGCGTCTGTAATCCCAGCTACTCAGGAAGCTGAGGCAAGAGAATCGCTTGAACCCAGGAGACAGAGGTTGCAGTGAGCCGAGATCATGCCACTGCACTCCAGCAAGACCCTGTCTCAAAAAAAAAAAAAAAATGAGAATAATATAAACAAGTGCTTAGCATACAGAGGGCCTGGCAGTCAGCTAGTTGAAGCCAAAAACGACAACAACCTAAATGGCCATCAAAAAGGAATTGGTTAACTAAATTATGATAAACAACATAATGGAAAACTCACTCTGCAATTGTCAAAGTGATTGAGTTAGACATGTACTGAAATGGAAAGTGCTACAAGATGTGTTAAGTGGAGGAAAAGCACATTACAAATTAGTATATGTGTCAAGACCCCACTTATGTAAATATATACTGATGCTTTGAGAAAGACTGAACAGGCTCCGCACCATGGCTCACACCTGTAATCCCAGCACTTTGGGGGACCAAGGCAGGTGGATCACCGGAGCCCAGGAGTTTGAGGCCAGCCTGGGCAACATGGCAAAACCCCCTCTCTCCAAAAGATAAGAAAAGAAGAAAGAAAGAAAGTCTGAGCAGATGCATTCTCAAACCATTAATAGGGGCCCAGGATGAGAGACTGTGTCTACCCTTGGCTCTCTCTGTTTCCTTACTGTTTGAATCTTCTAGAGTCCTCATGTTACTTTTCTAATCAGCCCAAACAATACAGATATTTAGATTTTGGGCAAAGAGTGCCCTGAGATGGGTTAAGTGTATCATATGTACGTTATATATTATATCTCAATAACATTGTTATTAAAGAAAAAGATTGCAGGCCGGGCGCGGTGGCTCAAGCCTGTGATCCCAGCACTTTGGGAGGCCGAGGCGGGTGCATCACGAGGTCAAGAGATCGAGACCATCCTGGTCAACATGGTGAAACCCCGTCTCTACTAAAAATACAAAAAATTAGCTGGGCATGGTGGCACGCACCTGTCATCCCAGCTACTCAGGAGGCTGAGGCAGGAGAATTGCCTGAACCCAGGAGGCAGAGGTTGCAGTGAGCCAAGATCACGCCATTGCACTCCAGCCTGGGTAACAAGAGCAAAACTCTGTCTCGAAAAAAAACAAAGAAAAAGAAAAAGATGATTGCTTTGGGTTTCCATTCAGCCACTGAAATGGGCTAAGGGTGACAGAGGAACCCTGAGGGGTGGGTGGAAGCAGGAAGCACAGCCGAGACCAACAGGAGGCCATCCTGGTTAGCTCTGTCCACAGGGCCCCTGGCAATCATCCAGGGGGAGCTGCTGACAACACTCACTCCTTCCTTGGCTCCTGACCAGGGATCAAGCCCACACAGCCCACCTAACTATCCGCTCACAGGATGCCTAGGCCTTGGATCCACAGGGCAGGGCCTACCTGTGTAGTCCGAGTCAGTGAGGTACTTGCTGGTCTTACGCAGGTACTCTGGAAGTCCAGCCAGATCCTCGGGGACACCCCGGGAGACCGCATCGAAGAGCCGGTCTCGGTCAAATCGGTTTGCATCTGGCTGACTGTGGAGGATGTGGTTTGTGACTCTTGCTGGAGAAGGACCACAGACCCCCAAAAGCCCTTCATCCCAGGGAGCCCTTTCAGGGAGTCCTGTACACACTGCACACCCCTCAGGCCCAGGAGCACACTGGGAGCCCTTCTGAGGGCCTCTACCCTCCCAGAACCAACCAAGGGGACCCCAAGTGCTCAGAGCCCCACAAGGAGGAAAAGGGGCCTGTCCAGGCCCTAAGCTCCTTCATCCCATGACACGTCATCACAGACACTTTTCAGCATCACGTGCTTGTCACGTGCCAGGTGCCTTGATGTCCCATCTCTCAACAGCCTCGATATCCCACAGGGTCTCCTTCAGCACACACAATTTATGGTGGCTCTTGAGCTTGGGCCTGGGTTTGGACGGGGGTGTGGGAGGTCCCTGCAGACTCACAGTGGCTGTATGCATCACTAGCCTCCAAGAAAGAATGGAAAAAAGCTCCTTTCTCCTCTCTGAAGCCATCTATTAACTACAGAATATTCTGCACCTTTCATCTGCCGGTCGGGAACCACTCATTTGTCCATTAGATAAACAAGGAGGTCATGTGACTTGCTGAAGTCCCACAGCACCAAACTGGGAATCTCAGCAGAGCTGTTTAACTTTAGACTCTGAACCCCCAGAGAGATTCTAGGCTGGGCAGTAGGAAATTTCCCAGAAACAGTCAGAGCATTACCTGGGCCCAATGCTGGGCCCAACGCTGAAACATATCAGACACCATTGAGAAGGCATGTTTATGGGAAATCTCTCCCTTAGACCCCACAAAGGGTCTGGTAGCTTATCAGAATCTGGCAATGTCTGGTGACTAGAAGGGGGAAGGGCATGAGTCATTCCCTCCTGGGCTGTGTTATTATTCAAAGGGGCCCGCTTGCTGGGACTTCTGGCAACAAGACCAGCAGATATGAGGGGACGAAGAACAAGGGGTGCTATTTGATGCTTTGTAGACCTCAGGTCCCAACTTAACGTCTCCTGTAGAATGGGTAGACCAAGTAAAGGTTGGTGACAGATGATTGTTGGGATCAGTCAGGTTTTTTTTTGGAGACAGAGTCTCACTGACACCCAGGCTGGAGTACAGGGACACAATCTACAACCTCTGCCTCCTTGACTCAGGTGGGGGTTCCAAGGGTTGACTTTTTTTTTTTTTTTTTTTTTTTTTTTGTGACAGAGTTTTCGCTCTTGTTGCCCAGACTGGAGTGCAATGGCTCAATCTCTGCTCACCGCAACCTCCGCCTCCTGTGTTCAAGTGATTCTCCTGCCTCAGCCTCCCAAGTAGCTGGGATTACAGGCATACACTACAACGTTTATTTTGTATTTTTTAGTAGAGATGAGGTTTCTCCATGTTGGTCAGGCTGGTCTTGAACTCCTGACCTCAGGTGATCCGCCTGCTTCGGCCTCCCAAAGTGCTGGGATTACAGGCATGAGCCACCACACCCAGCCTTCAAGGGTTGACTTTTTAAGCCAATGGCTATGACTGTAATTACAGCCAGCCCTCCCTCATCAGCACCACAAAGTCACACGTGACCATGAGGGCTCTGTCTGTAACTGACAGGAGCCCTATGGGCAGTCCAGCTGGCAGAAGTTGCCATTTGGACAAAGAACTTTCTGTCACCAGGGTGGCATCATGGTCCTGGGGTGGGGAAGCCCAATGAGGGCACAGATTGAGGCACAGAAGGCATCAAGAGCTGTGGGCAGGCTCCACAGCTCCCAGAAGCTCTTCACGCATCCTCCCCTACCCTGGGGCTGAATCTGACCACAATCCTCCAGCACAAACAGGACAGCGGCTCTAGCCTGGGAGGCCAAAGCTGGTGGCTGCACCTCAAGCATGAGAAGGGAAGAAGGGTCTTCTCTGAAAGAGACTAGCCTGGCCCATGAGGATTCTCCGGCCTCACTGGGCAGGCCCCTGGGCAGGGAGGGAGCAGGGTGCCAGATGCAGCAGGACTGAAAGTGGGACTCTCAGGAATGTGGGGCTCACACAATCTGAATTGGTGAAGAGACCACAGAACATCAAAGTGCGGAAGACTCCAAGCAGAAGCCCATCATCCTCAATCCCGCAGTCCATGCCCCCTGCATGACAGGCACAGCCTTGCAGAACTGAGGAGAGCCTGGGACACCTCCAGATGTCCTTGACTCTCACTGATGGAGTGTGGATCCTGCTGCCTTCCTGGACAGGGACCATGACAGGGGTGGGAGTCGGCATGCACAGGGGGATTTGAGGGTCAGTTGAGTACTTAGGGCTCAAGAATGTATCCTCATGAAGAACATGACCTCAGAGGGCAGAAGAAGCCTCTGGAAACAGCAATGCCAGACAGCAGAGCAGAGGTCAGCCTGTCGGGTCCCAAAGCCGTCAGAGCCAGACTGAGGATGCCACAGATGGTGGGAAGGGGCGCTGGTGCTGGGCTGGCTGATGGGTCTCACTCCAGGTGCTCAGCTGGAGCTGGCCAGGGGGCCCTCTTTGCCCTGCCCCCATTTGCTGTCTCACCTGGCACCTGTTCCCTTTCGGTAGTGGAGTTTCAGTCTGATCTGAGGGGAGACGTTCCGGTCCTCACTCTGGAACTGTGACTCCATGGGAGGCGGCCCCCTCCCAAAGTCCAGCTTTTCTTTATCTGTCTCAGAGCCATCTTCTTGGCCTCCATCTAAAGTCTCCAGCCTGAAAGCTGGAGGGCTGGAGGGTGAGGTCATTCTAGGGGGAGGAGGCTGCTCGTCTAGCCAGGACCTCTATGGAGACAGAGGTTTCAAGGATCCTGCCTTCCTCCCAGCTGCGGGTCAGTGTTGGCCTGACTGGAGCCTGCAGAAGGAGGTACTAGGTTAGTGCAAAAGTAATTACGGGCCAGGCAGGGTGGCTCATGCCTGTAATCCCAACACTTTGGGAGGCCGAGGTGGGTGGATCACCTGAGGCCAGGAGTTTGAGACTAGCCTGGCCAACATGGTGAAACCCCATCTCTACTAAAAAAAAAAAAAAAAAAAAAAAAAAAATGCAAAAAGTAGCCAGGCATGGTGGCATGCACCTGTAATCCCGGCTACTCGGGAGGCAGAGGCAGGAGAATTGCTTGGACCTGGGAGGCAAAAGTTGCAGTGAGCCCAGATCACTCCACTGCACTCCATCTCAAAAAAAAAAAAAAAAGGAATTGCCGTTTTTGCCATTACTTCTAATGGCAAAAAATGCCAAGTACAAGTAGATCCACCCACTATGTGGGAGCCCAGCCCCACCACAGGGGAGGTCAGGCAGGAGGGATGAGGAGCACAGGTGAGGAGAGGGAGGAAGGCCTGTGGCATGAGGAACAGGGTCCCAACAGGGCCACCCATTTGATACTGTCCCCCAGGAAGAGCCATGACTATCCCCGACTTTTCCTCTGGGACTCCCTGGTATCTGAGGGGTCACAACCCCTGTGCCCATCTGCATTAACAGCATAACACTTTCTTTACATAACTTCTTGCCTGGCGGCCAATATTCCACCAAATAAAAGGGCGATGGCTGGGATGGGGCCCGTCACTCAACCCCTCACCACGGAAGGGGAGCTCTAAGGAGAAACCATTGGGAAAAGCACGTGTCTATCAAACCCCGCATTTTGCTGCCAAGACTACTAAGGCTTAGAAAGGAGAAGTGGCTTTCCCAGCGTCACCAGTTGTTGGCAGAGCCAGATCTGAAACCATGCATCTACCATGACATTCTTCTTCAGTTCTCAAAGCCTTTCAGGGTCTGTCTACATTTTCAGTCTGACTCAGCTCTGATGGCATCGAATGCCACCTCTCTGTGCCTCGGGGCCTCTTGGTGCTTCACGAGGGCAGGGAGACCCTAGTCTGTGGCCTAGGCTTTCTCCACCACCCTGCCTTGGGCCCCAGGCCGGTCTAGAAAGCTCAGCAAACAGCACAATCTTACCCTCACAGGAAAAGTGAAACCACAGCCTCCATCACTTGACGAAGGTGGGGCCCCAGTTTGGGTTGGGGAGCCTCTGTGGCCCCAGCAAGCAGGATCAGAAAGAAAGAAAACGAGTCAGTGAATGGTAAGGAGACAGAGGGTGGAGAAGGGGACAGGGGGGCAGAGAGCAGAGAGGAGCAGTGCCAGCAGAGGGAAGTGGAGAGGATGGGCCAGGCCGCGTCTGGGCCCACTCCCACCCAGCTCTTTAGGCTCCCACAGCCCTGGGTACCCAGGTGGGGCATTTTACCATGGAAACATGGGAAGTGGGGGGCTGCGCAGCTGCCTCAATTTGCAGGTGTGGCCCACCACCCTTTCTGCCCACACTGGGGCAAGAGGACGTCCTTTCCATCTCATACCATTGAGCCCATCTGTGTCCCCGACCAAACCCTGGCCCATTCCCCCAGCCCAAGACTCTCAAGCCCCAGCAGCAACAGCTGTCTGTCCAGCCCCTATCCCACCTCCTGGGACCCCCATCCACCCTGGCAGCAGAGGAAGAGGTGTGGAGGTCCAGGGAGAGGGAGCCAGAGCCCCATACAGACACTGTTCGAGGCTGGAGAAACCAGGAGCCCACTCAGCCTACTCGGCCCCATCATTCACTGTCAGGCTTGGGGACCTGGCCCCCTCCGATGTCCCCAGCATTGCCCACCGACTTACCCCACAGGCTGAGGCCAGGGCGTGGCAGCTGCTGGGATCCCGGAGCTTCTCCGTTGCAGGGGCTGCGGGAGGAAGTGAAGCCGGGAGGGGCTGCGGGCGCTGACAGCGAAGGAGCCGCGGAAGCTCCCTTCCCAGCTCTGAGCACTGAGCTCGAGCAAGCAGGTTCTGGTCTCTCTGGCACCCTTAGCCCACCTGGCCAGCCGGCACGGGTGGAGAGTGGGAGCTTAACTGTCTGCTGTCAGGACAGGCTGGCCACCAGAGACTGACCATCTGGACACACCCTGCTTGAATCTCGCCCCGCCCCCGCCCCTCCCCCATCTAGCCACTGAGGTCTCAGGTGGGGGTGGGGGACAATCAGAGGCAGCCCTTGGGTGGTGGGGCCTTGCCTCCGACGGGAGTTGCCACGGATGGGGGATTCTTCCCCAACTGCACTGACATCTATCCCCTCCCCTTTTCCACGACCACTCGCCTTCCAGCAGCTGTGTGGCCCATAACAGGGCCTGAGTTGACCCAGTTATGGGCAGGGGAGAGAGCGGATGTGGACAGCCCCCAGGGAGAGGCTCGGCCCAGCAGATGCCCCTGGGAACGCAGTCCCACCCACCCATCCACCCAGCAGTTAGGGGACTCTTCCACCTCCCAGCACCTTTCCCCAGCCTCGTGACCGAGGACCCTGATGGCTGAAGTTCCCCTAAAGGTGCTCCCACCACCAGCCAGCAGGTGGAGACAAGGAGCTGGGCAGGAGCTGCTAAAATCAGACCTCACCACCAGGTCTGGACTTAGTCTTGGAGATGGGGACTCAGCCACCACCAAAGTAGCCTTAGGACTTCCTCTTCCTCACTCCCAAATGCTGGCATCAGCTCTGCCTCCTCTGTGTCTTTCTGTCTGGTCCAAGCCACTCTCATGCTCCCCTGGGCCACTGTAGCCACCTCCAAACTGGTCTCCCTGCTTCATTCTTGCCCCACACCAAGTGGTGTTCAAGAAGACTTTGAATGACAGGATGGCTAACTATAATCAGTGCAGAGGGCACTGCTGTGCTATTGACAAAAAAGGGAAATCCATCCTCCTTACGGCAACTGAAGTGATCTTTTAAAAAATGGAAACCAGGGCCGGGTGCGGTGGCTCAAGCCTGTAATCCCAGCACTTTGGGAGGTCGAGGCGGGTGGATCATGAGGTCAAGAGATCGAAATCATCCTGGTCAACATGGTGAAACCCCGTCTCTACTAAAAATACAAAAAATTAGCTGGGCATGGTGGCGCGTGCCTGTAATCCCAGCTACTCAGGAGGCTGAGGCAGGAGAATTGCCTGAACCCAGGAGGCGGAGGTTGCGGTGAGCCGAGATCGCGCCATTGCACTCCAGCCTGGGTAACAAGAGCGAAACTCCGTCTCAAAAAAAAAAAAAAAAAAATGGAAACCAAGGCGGGCTGCAGTGGCTCACACCTGTAATCCCAGCACTTTGGGAGGCCAAGGCGGGTGGATTACTTGAGGTCAGGAGTTCAAGACCAGCCTGGCTGACATGGTAAAACCCCGTCTCACTAAAAATACAAAAATTAGCCAGGGAAGGTGATGCGCACCTGTAATCCCAGCTACTCGAGGCTGAGGAAGGAGGATAGCTTGAGCCTAGGAGGCAAAGATTGCAGTGAGCCAAGATTGTGCCACTGCACTCCAGCCTGGGCGACAACAGCTAAACTCTGTCTCAAAGATAAATAAATAAATAGTAAAATAACAGTAAACATTCAATTCTACTGTCCCCTTAGCCACATTTCCTTTTTTTTTTTTTTTTTTTTTTTTTTTGAGGCAGTCTCACATTGTCACACTGTACCCCTGCTGGAGTGCAGTGGTATGATCTCAGCTCACTGCAACCTCTACCTCCTGGCTTCAAGAGATTCTCCTGCCTCAGCCTCCCAAGTAGCTGGGATTACAGACGCCCACCCCCATGCCCAGCTAATTTTTTGTATTTTTAGCAGACACATGTTTTCACCATGTTGGCCAGGCTGGTCTGGAACTACTGACCTCATGATTCCCCCACCTTGGCCTCCCAAAATGCTCAGATTATAGGCATGAGTCACCGTGCCCGGCCATTAGCCACATTTCAAATGTGACTAGTGGTTACCATATTGGACAGCACACAGATAGAGAAACTTTTCACAAGCATAGAGTTCTACTGGACAGCACTGCTCTAGACATTCTGAACACATTTCAATCTCCCCAGTACGCCATACCCCTCCCATTCAACCTGCCAGAAACAAACAACTCTCTCTCTCTCCTCTTGATCTGGCCAACACCTGCTCATCCATTACCTCTCAATTTAATCACTGCTTCCTCTGAATAGTCTTTCCTAGACCCTGGACTGGGCTGGGATGGCTACTATGTGCCCCCATGACACTGTGTACTTCCCCCATCACATGTCATTATCCATTACTGTTGATATTTAATTGTCTGGCTTCACCTTTTTTTTTTTTTTTTTTTTTGGTGACAGAGTCTTACTCTGTTGCTCAGGCTGGAGTGCAGTAGCACGATCTCAGCTCACTGCAATCTCCACCTCCCAGATTCAAGTGATTCTCCTGCCTCAGCCTCCCCAGTAGCTAGGATTACAGCCACGTGCCACCACAGCTGGCTAATTTTTGTATTTTTAGTAGAGACAGGGTTTCACCATGTTGGTCAGACCTCAGGTAATCCACCCACCTCAGCCTCCCAAAGTGCTGAGATTACATACATGACATACATGAGCCACTGTGCCTGGCTTCACTTTTTTTTTTTTTTTTTTTTTTTTTTTTTTTTGAGACGGAGTTTCGCTCCTGTTACCCAGGCTGGAGTGCAATGGCGCGATCTCGGCTCACCGCAACCTCCGCCTCCTGGGCTCAGGCAATTCTCCTGCCTCAGCCTCCTAAGTAGCTGGGATTACAGGCATGCACCACCACGCCCAGCTAGTTTTTTTGTATTTTTAGTAGAGACGGGGTTTCACCATGTTGACCAGGATGGTCTCGATCTTTCGACCTCGTGATCCACCCGCCTCGGCCTCCCAAAGTGCTGGGATTACAGGCTTGAGCCACCGCGCCCGGCCCGGCTTCACTTTTAACAAAAACAAATACTTATTAAGCACTCACTGTGTACTAGACACTGTGCTAAGTACTCAGTATATAACTCCCAGTGCAACCTTATTTCACAGACAAGGAAACCAAGCATGGGTAAGGCCAAGGCCACAAGACTGGGAAGTGAGAACTCAGGGATTCAAGTCCAGGGCCACATGCTTGCCACCATATTTTCCAAGGAGTGAAATCTTGCCTTTTTGCCGTATCCTCAGCATCCAGCACAATGCCTGGAACCCAAGTGGTGCTCAAGAAGGCTTTGAATGACAGGATGGCTAAGTATATCACAGTGCAGAAAGCACTGCTGTGCTACTGAGAAAAAAGTGAAAAGTGAACAACCTGAAATCCTCCAGAGCTATCACTACATCAGGTGAAAATGATGACTGAGTGGACAGACAACCTAATTGCAAATTCTGGTTACAAAAAGGCCTTGGATCATAGCCATCAGGGAAATGCAATCAAAAGCACAAGGTGATCCCACTTCACACTACTAGGATGGCTATGATAAAAAGACATGTAATAACGCAGTGTTGGCCAGGATTTGGAGAAATTGGACCTCTCCTACACTCCTGGGAGATTGTAAAATGGTGCAACTACTTTGGAAAACAGTCTGGCTGCTCCTCAGAAGATTAAACATAGAGGGCTGGTGGCGGTGACTCATGCCTGTAATCCCAGCACTGTGGGAAGGCTGAGATGGGCGGATCACCTGAGGTTAGGAGTTCCAGACCAGCCTGGCCAACATGGCAAAACCCTTCCTCTATTAAAAATTGAAAATTGGCCGGGCGCGGTGGCTCAAGCCTGTAATCCCAGAACTTTGGGAGGCCGAGGCAGGTGGATCACAAGGTCGAGAGATCGAGACCAACCTGGTCAGCATGGTGAAACCCCGTCTCTACTAAAAATATGAAAAATTAGCTGGGCATGGTGGCACATGCCTATAATCCCAGCTACTCAGGAGGCTGAGGCAGGAGAATTGCCTGAACCCAGGAGGCGGAGGTTGCAGTGAGCCGAGATCGCGCCATTGCACTCCAGCCTGGGTAACAAGAGCGAAACTCCGTCTCAGAAAAAAAAAAAAACAAAAACGAAAATTAGCAGGGCATGGTGATGCATGCCTATAATCCCAGGTACTCGGGAGTCTGAAGCAGGAGAATCACTTGAAGCTGGGAGGCAGAGGTTGCAGTGAGCCGAGATCCTGCCATTGCACTGCAACCTGGGTGACAGAGTAAGACTCTGTCTCAAAAAAAAAAATTAAACATAGAGTTACTATATGACCCAGCAATTCCACTACGAGGTATGTACTCAAAGAAATGGAAACATGTGTCCACACACACTTGTACATAAATGTTTACAGCAGCATTAGTCATAATAACCAAATAGATACAACCCAAATGATGATTAACTGATGAATGGATAAATAAAATGTGGCATATTTATTTAATGGAATACTATTTGGCCACGAAAAAAGAAATTAAATACTGATATACACTACAGCATGGAAGAAACTTGAAAACTTAGGCTAAATGAAAGAAGTCAGTCACAGAATATCACATATTGCATGATTCCTTTTATTTATTTTATTTTATTACATCCTCAGATAGGGGACATGTCAAACTGATAAGAACAGATACTACACTTGATTTTAGCCAAAAGATCAAGAAGTGATCTACATGATTCCATTTATATGAAACATCCAAAATAGGGAACTGTATAGCGGTTGCCTAGGACAAGGGGATGTTGGGCAGTGGCTGTAGAAAAGAGAACTGACTGCTAAAGGTATGAGGCTTCTTTTTTATTTTTTTTGAGACAGGGTGTCATTCCATCCCTCAGGCTGAAATACCATGGCATGCGATCACAGCTCACTGCAGCCTCGACTTCCCCAGGCTCAGGGAATCCTCCTGCCTCAACCTCCCAAGTAGCTGGGACCACAGGCACATGCCACCACACCTGGGTAATTTTTTTTTTCTTTTCTTTTTTTTTCTTTTTTTTCTTTTTTTTTGAGAGGGACTTTCACTCCTCTTGCCCAGACTGGAGTGTAATGGCTCGAACTTGGCTGACGGCAACCTCTGCCTCCTAGGTTCAAGCAATTCTCCTGCCTCAGCCTCCTGAGTAGCTGGGATTACAGGCATTGCCCATGCCCGGCTAATTTTGTATTTTTTTTCTTTTTATTGTATACTTTATCAAACATCCTCACTGATAATTTTGTATTTTT